TCAGCAGCGGATGGAGAAAACGAACTCACCCCGTGGTCGCGTGTAGACGTGGTGAGGTGCTCTGCTGGAAGGGCGTCCATCGCCCTGGCCACCAGGGAAGAGAAAACCTGGGCCACGCTTTCAAGAACCTTAAGAATCGAGACTCCTCGCCTCCCGCCGTCCCTCGTTCCGGGGCCTGGACGGCGGTGGATGTCCTGCCACAGCTGTGTGTCCACCCGCTTGTCCTTTCAGTGCAGTCGTGGCCAGCCTGGTCCACGAGACCACAGTGACACAGCTTCGCAGGCAGCGGGCAGGCCGGGGCAGGCTCTCACACAGCGAGAAGCGGCTGACGCCACGCCTCGCACTGTAGAAGCTCAACGTCCCGGCTCGCCAGGGGAAGGGGGTCTGCACCTGTCTTAGACTGCTTTCCGTATTTCTCCCGCTGAAAGATCTCAGTGTTTTTTTTGTTTTGTTTTCTTTTGTTTTGTTTTTTTTGCTTACACTCTCAGGAACAGTGTGAAAAGGCGCAAAGCTGCCGTGACGGCAGGGCTGCGTTCAGGGGGTCCCCTTCATCGGACATCATGAGGCGCGTCATTGCTCATACTGTGTAAATGGAATGTAAAATGTCACCTCACGGTGTTTCGATGTGCATTATGTGTGTGTGTATGTATGTAACGTTGTAGCTTTCTTTACCAGTTGACAACAAAACAACAGTAGCTTTGAAACCAAAGAAACACTCACTGGTAAACGCCAGCACATCATTTCAGGTGGCGCAATGGTTACAGTGCTGGACTCTCACGTAGTTGACCACGGTTTGAGTCCCGGAGCCACTGGCTTAAAACTCACGCCGGCCACGTGTATGTGCGTACCCAAGATCTAGGGAGGAGAATGGAGAGGAAAGGGTTGTGGTGTAGCCCTTCCCCCTGGGGGATCATTTCTGTCTCTCTGTCTCTGCATCTCTGGTGAGTGCACACACCCTATAGCAAAAACCTCTCTGAAAAAAAGATCCATCATTTTTACCAGTTGCAGTCCACTGTAGCCCAAATTCAAATCCACGGGAGCGGGTTCCATGTGGTTTTGTGTGTGCATTGGCCTGGGCCAGCAGACAACCCCCTCACGGTCGTTCTGATCCAGCCAACAGAGCAGCCAGGACGGGGCCCTGCACCCAGGTCCCTCCTGGACCACGCTACTGTGGGTGTGAGGACGGCAGCCCCGGGGTGCTGCTCGGTGGCCAGCTTGTGCCCAGTGTGGTCCAGACACCTCCCCATGGTGGAGAGGAGAGGCCCCAGAGGTCTCAGAGCGGCAGGACGGGGTCCTCCCCTGCCCCAGGCCCTGG